ATTTTTGCTCTCTCTCGTTCTCCTCTTCCCAGCTGCAATATGATCCATGACCCGAGAACCCGCGAAAGAGGGACCCCTGCCGCTATCCCGGGCGAGCGACCAAATCTCGGTATCCGTTCATTGACGCACAGCTCCACCATGCAATCAAGTTTTCTCTTCTTCATCATCTTCTTTCTATCTTGTATCTGACATATTATTACGTAGGTATCCTTCCCCTCCAACCCATGTTCTGTCAAATTTTTTGTTGGCCTTTGTTTCAGTGTTTCATGGTGCTTAATCGAGTTCAGCTACAGAATGGATTCCATCGCGATTGAGTACCTATTCTGTAATGGCTCTTCGGGGTTCAAGCGGACTGCGACACTCCGGCATCACAACCACAGTAGTAACAAGGGAAACTTCAAGCTACTAGTAGTAGCACTCCATGAATGAAACATCAGGTACCTTACCCTTTTATCCTGAGAATCACGTCCTGATGTCTGTATTTGCAAGGGCCTCACGTCTCGTGCAATCAAACAAGCCCGATACACGTGTAATTTCTTAGCCGCCGTCTAGAACACCGACCCAACGGAAACACATCCATGCCACATCCATCCATCCATCCATGATTCCCTCTCCTTCCTCCCTGCCCCCGTCCCGAAAGACCCGGAAATATGGCCCTCGGTAGCGAGAAGAGGTGAATAAACAGAAACTCCCAGGTTCGTCGTGAGGAGGGGGGAGAGGAGGCTGTGTCGATGGCGTGCGTCACAGGCTTTCCGTGGAGATGGCCCTCCTTGGGTGAAGATCATTTCATCATGAGGAAGAGTGTCACAATCTCTCCCCTTGCTGTTTTTTCTCCGGGAAAGGGTGCCTCGTTTGGGAAGAAGTACATGCTATGTAAAAAAGGTACTGTAGCTGTTGGTGACGGCTTTCGTTAACGCGCATGTGATATACATGCTGCTCACTTCCTGTACGGGTAGGTACCTGGCCAAGACAGCTGCCGTATAAGTTGATGTATCACCAGAACGGCGGGTTTGATCTACCTTTACCTTTACCTTCCTGACCAACTCCCCTCAAGATACGAGACGACCCTACGTAGGCAGGTAGGTGAACTAAGATTGCGATCGAGCTGCAAAAAGGCTGTTTGCTTTCCCAATGTGTACAGTATGGTGGTGATGTCTGACGTACATGTAGGTAGCAGCTCATTACCCTGAAGCTGAGACGGGGGGTTGGTTTTTAGGGAAGCTGTCTTGTTTTGTCACGTTGCATAAGGGCCGACGGGAACTTCTGACGGTTAAAATAATAACACTATGAAACTTGGGGGCATTTGGATTCCGAGGGTTTTGATTCATTGCAATGTTGCGTTGCTCATGGCCTGAATAAAGATGCGCAATGCGGTCGTGGACGAAGGAAGGGGGGTGAAAAGGAACCGGGAATAACGTCTTTTCTGTCTCCAGCTATCGGGTAGCTGGGTACCTATGTAAAGTACTATGCCATCTTGATTTGTCTTTGAGACTTGGAAAGCTGCTGTCATTGTCTCAGATTCACTCCGTACCCAGTCGGAGTTGTTCAAATCAACATGCACGGAGGCAAAGGATGCTCCCAATGGCAAGCTGAAGAACGGCTTGCCTGTACTTGCACTATAACATTACACTGCGGCAGTAGTCAGTCAGCCAGCCAGCCCGCCCAAGAAAAGAACAATGGTATTATTCAACTGAGACAGAGATTATCACCGATCCGAAACACCATGGCTAGTACTACATACAATACACGAGATTCCGGTGAATGTCGTACCAAACAAGCCCGTCACGCGACAACATGAATCCGCCCCCCTTCCTCTTGCACCAGCCTCCCCCCCAATTTCCACCACGGACATCCGACAACCAGGAACCCGTTCTTTTCATCCCAAACATCCGCTGGTCCACGCCAACTGGCACAAGCATAACCGGGGAAAAAAAGAATGTTACGAGAGCCGAGGGTATGTATGTACTGTATTCTCCCTGGAGGGGGAGAGGAGGATGATGATGACGAGGAGATGCCATGGGTTCTCGCTACCAAAACTTGCTCTCCCCTCGCAATGGGCAAGGATAGGTAAGTAGGGGAATTGCCCTTCCCTTGCCCTTTGCTGTTCATTTTCCCGCTTCAAACATACCTACGTACCTGGTGCATGGTACCCAGGCCCCTCAGATGCAAAACCATGTGTCTCCTCTTCCAAAGCACGTTCACAATGAAGATAAATCAACAAGAAAAAAAGGTAAATTAATACCATTGGGAAGAACATTGCCAGCCGTGGCACATCTTCCCTCCCCCATGTCTGCCAAGGATATACGCCCTCTCAACGCTCAAACTTGTGAAGAAATATGTCATAAATTACATACTATCTCGTCAAAATTCGGTAACCGTATCCTGTGATGCCCCATTTCGAGAAAGGGGACACAACGTGCTTTGCCTGTTGATCGATTCCGACATGTCGGGTCTGGGAAGATATGACTTGTCATTTACATTGGTAAACGGCCACTTTCCCGAGCTCCCGAGTTTGGTACCGAGTCGATAGGGAGGTCTTTTCATATCGGCTTCCCGGGAGGGGAAGAGCACCATCGTTCGGCAGAGGAGGCGGCTGGGAGGATGTAATTGGATTCAGCAGGAAGACAGAGCCAGTTTACATTGGCAAACAAGATATTCTTATTAGTCGAGCTCCTATTCCTCACGCTGTACATCGTTGGCAAGACTTTCTCGTCATGGAGCGCTGAGACAGGACACATTGAAGGCAGTTTGTATTACTAGAAACCGTCATCGGCTATGCGATCTAACAGCGTGTTTTGGCAGTTTCATTCAAGTGCTAGTCCATTGCGTCGATTCATACATCCGTTACTGCACAACAATTGCGTAGTATACGCCCACAAATCCATAACCCCAGTGTCCAAACAAAGCTGTGACAACACGATAGAGGGTGAGAAGTCAATCTATTTACTCAAAGTCAGCAAGGTCAAGGCGCAAACCGGTGCTGGGCAGACAAGGCTCACCTGATCAAACTTGGTACCCCTTTCCTCCACAATTAAAGAGCCGGGCGTGCCCCTGGCCCTCGGCTCTGCACATTCTTCCCCGGTTATGCTGTGCCCGTCTTTTTATGTTACTTGGTTCCATGTGCCACAATTGTGCACGAGGGAGACGGGTCGATCATGAGATGAGATCCGCCACGTTCATCGGCATCTCGTCAATTTGCGTTGAGTAGTACACTGAGTCAAACGTGTTAGCGTTGGTCAACATGCAGCTGCGAGGGTGAGACAAAACGTACACTCAATGTCTCGGAGGATGCGGACGTCCTCCGTCGTCACAAAGTTGATTGCCACGCCCTTGCGGCCGAACCGTCCACTGCGGCCGATGCGGTGGATGTAGTTTTCTCGGTTGCTGGGCAAGTCGTAGTTGATAACTAGACTGACCTGCTGCACGTCGATACCACGAGCCCACACGTCGGTCGAGATGAGGACTCGGCTGTTTCCCTGTCTAAAGTCCTGCATGATGCTGTCGCGTTCCTTCTGAGGCATATCGCCGTGCATGGAGCTGACGGTGAAGTTTGCCTCGCGCATCTTGTCCGTGAGCCAGTCGACCTTGCGGCGCGTGTTGCAGAAGATGACGGCCTGGGTAATGGTGAGAGTGTCGTAGAGGTCACACAGAGTGTCAAATTTCCAGTCTTCCTTCTCCACGGCGATAAAGTATTGCTTCAAGCCTTCCAGCGTAAGCTCGTCTCGCTTGACAAGAATTCGAACGGGGTCGGTCATGAACTTGGTCGTCATATCGAGAACATCGTAGGGAAGAGTGGCACTGACGACCACGACCTGGGTGGCTGGCGGCAGGTAGCGATATACGTCGTAGATCTGCTCTCGGAATCCCTTGTTCAGGAGCTCGTCGGCCTCGTCCAGGATGAGCATCTTGATGTGCCTCGTCCTAAGATGGCGTCGTCGAATCATGTCAGCTACCCGCCCAGGCGTACCCGACACAATGTGTTGGCCGTAGTCCAGCTTGCGAATGTCCTCCCCGACATTGGTGCCTCCGATGCACGCGTGGCACTGGACGTTCATGTAGTCGCCCAACGCCATGACGACCGACTGGATCTGGGTCGCCAGCTCTCGCGTGGGCGACAGGACGAGGGCTTGCGTCTCGCGCACGGCTGTGTCAATAACCTGCAGCATGCTGATCGAGAAGGTGGCCGTCTTTCCCGTGCCGGACTGGGCCTGCGCGATGGTGTCGCGTCCCTTGCAGATCTGGACGATGGCTCGCGACTGGACGGCGGATGGCGATTCGTAGCCGTAAGCGTAGATGCCGCGCAGCAGGTTCTCTGCACAGGCGTCATTGTTAGGCAACAGGCGACACTGTGACGGCTGATGGACGGCGGCGTCTCTTACCTTTCAGCGACATGGCCTCGAAAGTCGGGTGCACCGTCACCTCTTTGGAGGTGGAGAACTCCATCCGCTCGTCCGCTTTGCGGTCAATTCCTCCAGCGCCTTCAGCCATGATGTAGCGACGTGCGTTGATGTGTATTGATGGGTCTCGAGATGGGTTCTTCTGCTGAGTTCGCCAATAGCCCGTGGTTGATGTCAGGTCGGTCGTTGGCATCTCGGTGGCGGCCCCAAAACTTTTGGCTTGCAGCGATAACGGGGTGTGCTGGCGGCAATACTTCGGCCAAACCGATAAGCCACTTTTGCCCCAGCATCTTTCTTGAACGCGACCAGCCTTGGTGCTTTCTACGGAGTAACCAAACCAACTGATGCCTTTGGCGAAAGCAGCGATTCTCTGTTGATTCCGCATCGATTTTGCCTCTTCTTTCGAGATTCCGCTCCTCATTCCTATCGACGCCAGAGCGCTGCAGAATGTTGGTCCTAGAAGAGCAGCGGTACATCCACGAGGACCTCGAGCGCCTGGAACAGGGCATCGCGGATCGTATGCGCGAGGACCCCAAGCATGTGAGCTCCCCGTCTTGCGTTTGCCTCGTCTTCTGCGGCTGCTGATCAACCCTGTTGTTCTAGATCCGCGACCGCCTCAATCGCGATCACGAAGTCGCCCAGCTGCTGGACCAGATCCAAGCCCAGTCTCAGAACCTAATCAATATATATCAAGACGAGAACGGCAGCCGGGCGCGAGAGATCCAGCAAATCGGCACCGGAGACCCCTTTGAAGAGTTTTATCGTCAGTTCAAGGACATTCGAGAACATCACGCGAGATACCCCAATGAGCCGGCAGAGAACTCAGAGCAGCGATACAAGGTGTCGAAGCATGGCGATCCATCAGAACCCTTGCCCTCCATTGTCGACTCTCTCTTCTCGGGAGAGGAGGCTTATGGACGCTTCTTTGATCTGAACATCTGCCACGAGTCTTTCCTCAACCTGAACAACGTCAAGCGCCTGAGCTATCTGCAGTATCTCGAGCAGTTTGACAACTTTGCTCCCGGTTTCGGGGGGGTCAAGCGGAATGAGAAGCTTAATGACCAATACTTCAAATACCTCGGAGAGTTGAGTGACTATCTCGAGTCGTTCATGCGACGCACCCGGCCGTTGGAGAACGTGGACAAGATCTTGCAGTCATTTGACAAAGAGTTCGAGGAGGCTTGGGCAAAAGACGAAGTAGAGGGTTGGTCCCTGGAACAGGCAGCGCCTGCCAAACAGCGCACAGGAGATGCCATATGGTGCGACGATTGCGAGAAGGAGTTTGCCAACGAAAACGTCTACAAGAACCACCTCAAGGGACGAAAGCACATCAAAGCCGCAGAGCAGCGAAGCCAGCGGCAGGCGGACTCTGCGCCATCAGCAAACGGCTCAGGGAAGGGAGCCGTCTCCGCGACTAGGCTGAAAGAGCGAGCTGTTGCAGAGCGCGAATACAGAATCAAGCGCCTGGCCAGTGCCATGAGTACTGAGCGGAGCGACACGCGCGTCAACGTCGAACGCAAGCAAGGAATGACGGAAAGGGAGCGCCAGCAGGAACTGGAGAACCTCCTCAACGCGAGCGAGACGCGATATGAGCCGATGGATGAGGGAGAAGGCGAAGGCGAGGACGGCGAAGAAAAGATATACAACCCCCTCAAGCTTCCTCTGGCCTGGGATGGCAAGCCCATCCCGTTCTGGCTGTATCGACTGCATGGCCTCGGCGTGGAGTTCCCATGCGAGATCTGCGGCAACTTTGTCTACATGGGCCGACGCGCCTTTGACAAGCACTTCAACGAGGCCCGCCACGTGTATGGCCTGAAATGCCTGGGCATCACCAACACCAGTCTGTTCAGGGACATTACGGGGATTGACGAGGCCCTGAGGCTCTGGGAAAAGATTCAGAAGGAGAGGAAGAGGGGCAAGATTGACGACGGCAGCGTCATCCAGATGGAGGATGGCGAAGGAAACGTCATGCCGGAGAAGGTCTACTACGATCTACAGAAGCAGGGTCTGCTTTGAATGGTTCTTCATGTGTCATAGTTGGGAGTTTGTGGATATGTCATTTAGGGAACAACTTGCTCGGTATTATCGGCGATTAGAGTATAATGAAGGGATCAAATACCATATCTGGAATCATCAGCTCATATGGCTGCCGTGTCCCTGGGTATCACGTCCTGCATCAAGGGCGGCGTATCCATGTTGTGTATTGCTTAGTCATCAAATTTGATATAACAGTTAACCTGCGTTCTACAGACGCTTTTTCATGACTTCTACATACCAGTTACACAAGCTACCCGATATCAACAATATCAACACTGTTATTGAGAAAAATAGGCCCTCAATCACTCCATGTGGTGATCAAGAACACATGTAGGCATGTCAGGCCTCGCCAAGCCCATCCCGGCGCTGTATGTGGTCTATGTTCTGCGCTCTACCGTGAGGCATGCATCGATATACGTCGGATCCACGCCAAACCCGCCCCGGCGGCTCAGGCAGCACAACGGCGAGGCCAAAGGCGGCGCCGCACGCACGTCACGCGACAGCCTCAGGCCGTGGGAGATGGCCGTCTTGGTCTCTGGATTCCCGAGCTCCATCGCAGCTCTGAAGTTTGAGTAGGTTCGATGCCAAATGGGGTAGCGCGAAGGAGGGGGGGGGGGTTGAGTTTTGCGTTCAATGTGCTGACTTTCACGCCCTTTAACAAGATGGGCTCTGAACAACCCGCATCTTACTACTCATATACCAAAAGAGGAGCGAATCACGGTGGCTACGTCGCGGAAAAAGAGTGGCATGCCCAGGAAGGCGCCGCATAGCCTCAAGTCCATCGTGTCGAATCTGCACCTCCTTACGAGGGTGCCGAGCTTTTCACGGTGGCCGCTCAACCTGCATTTCTTCAGTCAGGACGCTCACAGCGCATGGGAGCGCTGGACACGGGCGAGCGAGATCCCCGTTGCTCCGGGCTTGAAGATATTGACCGACTTTGGGCCATCTGCGAGCAGCTCGTCGACGACCCCATGGGGGATTCACGCCTTGCCGCTGGACTACTCTCCGATGCACGAATACATCGAGAAGGCGCACGACGCGGTCTCTTTTGAGAGGGAAGGGCGATGCGTTCATTGCAGGGCGGAGATGCAGCCCAGTAAAGGCCTGTACGCAATGTGCCCCAACGACGGCTGCGAGGCCATGGGACACGTCGACTGCTGGAGCAGGCATGCCCTGGCGGGCGACGATCCAGGGGTCGTTATACCCAACGGCTGCAGATGCCCGTCGTGCGGCGGCGAGATACGTTGGGGGGACATGATGAAGGAGCTGAGCTTGCGGACGAGGGGGGCTGGCGAGGTGGAGAAGCTGCTGAGGAAGAAGAAGCGGGCGAAGAAGGATTCGTGATGGGGACGGTTCTCCCGAGGTTATCTGGATACGGTATGGGCATATGGCGTTTAAGGGGGGGTAGTATAATGATTATAGGGAAAGCTTGGGCGGATGCTAATTTCTCCTGGATGGCTGTTTCGGGTTTTGGTTTGCGATGCGATTCAGATTTGTTATAGTGGCGGGATGCAGCCGATGGTGCAAACAGAGATGCTATGCTTGGCTGGATGTGATTCCAGATCTCGTCTGGGCTTAACCTACAGCCTACGAAATATCACATGTACTCACTGCAATTGATCAAAGACGGCCAATAAATCAGCGACTGATTAGTCCCTGGCATTACTCCAGCCGTTGTGGTGCAAGTTCAGCAGCGTCCAGGGGCGCAAAAGTACTTTGCTTTACCCGAGGCACATGCGAACTTCTAGACTCAATGCTCTCGGGGCGGATCTGACGATGGTGGGGTGATGACGGCACAACGCGGCGTGGGGGATTTCTATTTTTCCCCGTGGTTACCTGGGCTTTTCTTCGGAACTGGTGATTGCAGAAAAGGGCAAGGCGCGGACATGGAAGATCTGGAAGGAAGAAGAAGCCAAAGAACTTCGCCGGTGGACAAAGACAAAACACAAGCCGGATCTCCTGGGAATTTAGTGCATGGGACTTTGTATCTGCCTTGTGAGTAAGCATGTTCTCTGTGTCTCGTGTCTCGTGTCTTGTGAGGGTAGAGCCGCATACGACTATAATCTCAGGTAAGATGCGGTAGCACTCGGATTTGGGTCGAACAAGGGACCAACAAGGCGACGTTGACTCTTGACTTTTGATGAGGCTTACGAGGGGGGACGAACAATTCGCGAATCGAGGACTGAAGCGAATCCTAGTACTTTTCGCTCTTTTCTGGCTTACCGCATGAGGCTGCTTCAGCCGGGTCTTGCTCTGGCAAATTGTGGACACGGGGGGCCCCTGGGCCTGTTTCCGACTTCAGTGGTGTGTGATTGGTTCGGTAGCTCGTGGCCGCGGGCCTGATCCTTGTCTGTGCGACGACGCATATCAGATTTGGGTCTTTTTGGCTGGAGGGCGCACGAGGAGGAGGAAATGGGGTTTGGGGCTCGGTCGGGGTTTTCCTTAGGGTTGAGATTGAGTCTTGGGTTTGGTGTTGAGGCGAGAGAAGTGGTTGTCTGGCTTGGATGAGGTCAATATGTGGAAATACGGGGTGGCGGATGATTTTCATGCTTGCGTTTTGGAACTGACTCGGCGCGAGTAGGGTAGATTTGTCCCATCTTCTCTCACGCTGTGCTTGCGGTTGGTGAAGGAGAGAGGCGCCTGGTGTCATTGTCGTATGAAGCGATACCGCACATTGAGAACTGTGCCTTGCAAGGTTCGTGGGAGGGCTGATGGACAATATGACGGTAGACACTTCAGGTATAAAGCAGATCTGATTCGAGAATATACCTCACCTGGCGCTTTGATGAGAAAGCAAATGATTTTCATGCAGTCCGGACAGCATAATAAGCGTACCTGGCAGACGACGAACAGGCTCTTTTGCTGGTACTACTAGTGCGACAAAGAGCGGACGTCGTCTCTAGTGGGGCTGGTCTGTACATGCACAGTAAGGTATCTTGCATGATCGATGACTGGCGCATCTATCGTGCCGTGCCGTGTCGTGTCCCAACGGCGGCCGCTATTGAAACGTTGTAGAATGGAAAAGAGAGGGAGGAAGAAGAAGAAGAAGAAGAAGAAGAAGAAGAAGCCAGATGCGACACCAATGGAAGTCAAAACGGCAGCGGAAAGTCTGGATGACGTCTATCAGAAGTTGCGGCGCAATGCAGGCTGAAGCAGGACTGACGTGCATCGCATCAGACGTTCAACATCAGCACTTCGCCAGCCATCTGCATGTCTCGGCAAAATGGTATAAACAATATACTGAATGAAATCCCCTGTGCGATTCGTACCTTATGGTCTCGACTTCAAAGTGTTTGGTTTCTTGCGTCGCTCGTCGGAATCGGTGCGGTGGCAGCACTGCAGCGGATCCGAGCAAAAAGACCTGGACCGGATCGCCCGCAGCAAGAAAAGCCCAACGGGGCATGTGCTCGGTTGGATCTTCAAGACGTCGCAAGTACCGCCTACTTGCACCAATAAAGTCTAGCAGAACCTCAGAGCCTCTCACAGCACCGCATCACGGCAGACGCCGTATCAATCGACGACTCCAGAGCGGTCCGGCCGAGGTACCGAGTACGCGATCATGCGCGCCGCAGGGTACGAGGAACGTCGCCTGTCGTTCTCCGGGCTGAGGCACATGGCGGGTACCTCCAGCTGCCTGCGACCCAGCTGCCCTTCGCAGCACCGGGCAAGACAGGCCGTAGTCCCTCCAATGTACTCCGGAAGCCACGCGCGCAGTCGAACGGCAGCAGCGATAGGCTGCATACGGCGTAGCGGCGGTACTTGCCCAGTGAAAAGCGCCCGGGGTCCACAGAGACAGCGGCCGCCTATTGGCTTGTAGACGGCCTGGATCCACCCACACGGACCACCTGGCTGGCTGCAGCGCACAGCTCCTGGCAGGGCAAGCGCAGCCCAGCTGGGAGGCCAAGTACAGGATACCTGCCGTGGGTCGCCTGCTGGCCGCCGTGCGCGTACCGTTTGGCCGGCAAGGCGCTGCAAGCAGACAACTGCCCTGGAAGGCATCCAGCAGACGGGAAAAGTACCTGCTACGGCGTGTCGACGAGCCGGTCAGCGGCGTGGACGTCCACGGCCTCGTCCCTGTCGGTCGCTCTGTGCGCGCCGTACCCGGTACTCTGTACTTGCACGCCCCAGCACTGGCATTTAAATGTACTCGTACAGGTACCGCCCGGTCCCTCTTCAGCGCAAGTGCAGTTGACTGCAGTGGTTCTGCCAGGAACGTCCTGCGCTGCGCTGCGCTGCACCTTCACGCCGGAAGCCTCGACCCATTTGATTTCCACTTGCACTGGCACTTACTTGCACTTGCACTCCGCCCACTCTCTACTCTCTCTCTCTCTCATATCCAATCTCGCTCCGGCATCTGCACCACCAAAAAAGGGCCAACAGACTCGCAGACTCTCTCAGCCTTGTGCCTCTGCGGCTCCCTTGACCCTCTGCCCTCGTTTTCACTCTTTCCTTCATCTCCCACCAACAGCCCGACTCTAATAAGACAGCACGCCCCGGCCCTGTATCTGTATGTATGTCTCTGGTCTCTCTCCCGCTGCCCTGCCCTGCCCTTCGTGTTAGTTGCGCCGCTCTTCCATGTTCCACGTGCCCGTGCTGGGCTCCGTCTCTGTTTTGCATCTTGATTCTTCTGCAGCACCGATTCGAGCCCTCGAGTTCACCCGCTTACGCTCACAAGATACCTCGCTAGTCGAGCCCGCGATCCGCCGCATCTCGTCGCCATCGCCTCTTTTCGCCGTGCCGGGCTCGGGACAGAGAGCCGCGGCCATCACGTCTCGACTTGCCCCGGCTCGAGACGCATCCTCCCTCGCATACATGATGCCATATGGATTGAGCCTTCACGATAGGTGTCTCGTCATATGAGCTTTCTCGGCTGCCTCGCCCCTCTTCGCATCCTACCAAGAAATCGCCTGCGCCTGCTCCCAATCCACGCCTGTGCCGCTCCGAAATTCTAGGGTCTGGAACCCGTTTGCGCCATGGCACCGACTGCCTCCCTCAGCGCGGCCGCCGCCGCTGCCAGCAGTACCAATGCCAGTTCGCGCAGCTCGCCTGCGATTGGGGCATCCGCGGCCTCCTCGTCGTCGAAGCCGAAGCACAAGGTCAACTCCAACGGCTATCATCCTACAAATCCACCGGTGCCGCTGAGCTCCATGGTCAGCGCGCCATTGGACCTCACCTCAGTCGAGAGACGCGGCCAGCCCACGGCTGTGCGGGAGCCGCTCAAGAAGAAAACACGGCCGCACGGCATATCAGAAGCCCCGACCTACTGTCCGTCAGAAACCGAGTGGCGCGACCCCCTGCAATACATCCAGAAAATTGCTCCCGAGGCATCTCAGTACGGCATTTGCAAGATTATTCCGCCAGATTCATGGAACCCTGATTTCGCGATTGATACTGAGGTATGCATACTTTTGCGCCGACCTGGGTCGGGTGACGTGCCTAGCGGTACAGTTCGCTGACAAGTTGACTAGAAGTTTCACTTCCGAACTCGAAAGCAAGAATTGAACTCCGTCGAAGGCAGTAAGTCTCCATCTTTTACAGCAGAATCCTGCTTGTCCCCTTGAAGCAGGAAGACGAACCCCTCGAAGAGTCCCTTTTGCTTATTAATCTTTTCTCCCAGGCACGAGGGCCAATCTTACCTATCTCGATGGTCTCTCCAAGTTTCACAAACAGCAGGGAAACAACCTACATCGTCTGCCATATGTGGACAAGAAACCCCTCGATCTGTTTCGCCTGAAAAAGGCTGTCGAATCCAGAGGCGGATTCGACAAGGTGTGCAAGCTCAAGAAATGGGCTGAAATCGGCAGAGATCTCGGCTACAGCGGCAAGATCATGTCATCCTTGTCCACGTCGCTCAAGAACTCCTTCCAACGGTGGCTCTGCCCTTATGAAGACTATCTGCGTCTTGCGAAACCAGGAGTACATCAGCAGCTTGAGCAGGAGTATGGTGGTCCTCTGACCCCGAGCCCCGCACATACGCCGGTAAAGCCGTCTGCCGTCAACACACCGAGCAGCATTCGAGGGGCATCGCCCGCCCGACAGGCCTCGGATGCCCTCCAGAGCAGCGTCGCTGGAAAAAGAGAGGTGGACCGAGACACACCCATGACCGATGCGCTGCCAGCTCCCACGGCGGCAAAGCCCACCTCTGGCTTTACAGCCATAAACACCAACGGCGGCTTCACCGCGGTCAATTCAGGCTTTACCAGCGTCAACCGTGCCGCCAACGGCGAGAGTAAAAGTTTCACACCGGATTCCAAGCGATATGACAGCCCCGCCACGTCCGCGAGAAATACCCCCGAAGCGCGACCATCGGGCCTCGGCTCCGCTGCTGCCCTGAAACGGCAGTT